ACCGCTAAACAAAATTAACAGTAGAAATCAAAACACTGGGCAGACAGCATAACCCAAAGTACACAAGATGGATAAAAGGAACTACATAGTAACCAAGTTGGGGCATTTTAGACCAGCGTTAACTCTTGATGTCATTTTCTAACTATAATTGTAAATACCACGCGGCCTCTACCAACGTGTGTGCTGGGAAATGTCCACATGAAAAACAGCCAAGGGTCTGTGTGTCCTCACGGGTCACATCAAATAACTTTCAGAGACCTCTTCTGACAAGGATCAACAAACGAACAGACAGTAGACTGATTACAAGTTATGAGACATCAAAACAAGCTTGCACCCAGAATTGCGTTTCTACGCTTGTGAAGTCACCTCAACCTCTCACGACCCAGAGATCTAAGCGCACGGACTCCCTGCCCAGCCCTGGGCACGCTCGGCCAAGGCCCTGGGCGTGCCCGAGGCTGCCACATGGATGCACGCCCCTGGTTGCCCTCCCCTGCCCTCAGCACCTTCTCGAGCACAGCAGCCCCGCTCAAGGACTCCGCTTCCTCACCCCCTCCTTCAGCCGTCAGTCCAGGCGATGCAGCCCTCGCTGCGTCCTGCCACTGTCCCCATGGAGCCCCGCGGCGTGACAGCCTGTCAGGCGCTGCCATCTCCCGAATCGCCTACTGTCTCCTTCGCCCCCTCCAGCTTCCTGTCCACACCACCTTCCCCTTGCCGTCCTCTCAGACGTCGGCGGCATCCTCGAGATGCTCGTTCCGTCCTCCTGATGCTAAGCCGTAAAGGCCAGGCCGTATGACAGGAACAGCGCATCTGGCATCATGAGATGGGAGCTTGAAGCCAAACCTCACCACTTGTTGGCCATGTGGCTTTGGTCAAGATGCCAACCTCCATTACCTCATCAGGCGAATGGGCGTGGCCATCAAGGAACTACCAAGGCAACGGGACTAAACAAGGCACCTATTGGAAATAATTTAACACGCTCTCTGGTATATTCCAGTTATTTAATAAATACCTCAATATTTTATTAAATATGTTTTCTCTTCTATCCATATGTGTTCTCCCTACCTGGAGAAATTCTAAGACTTCTAGAATCACCAGTTGATGTGTGACTTGCCAAGTCGCTCTCTAGTCCTGATGTGTGCCCTGAGCATCTGACACGAACTTCCAAGTTGAGTATCTCTGCGTCGATGTCTAAGCACCTAAAACTTAGCGTGCCTCCAACAAACTCATTATCTCCCCTCTTCCCGAACTCAAATCTAAGCAGTTTTCTCTCTCCCAAGCACCCGCGCTAAAGTTAGTCTAAAATATTAGTCTCCCACAGCTAGTCCTGTTTTGCCCCCATAATTCCATGGTGGCTGTGTCCGTGTCTCCCAACGGGGCCACTGCACAGCTGTCGGGGAGGTCTGCCCAGTGGGCACCCTTCCTCAGCGCATACCCACAATGCCACACCACAATCACCTGTAACGCCGCCACATTTGTGCTTAAGTGTTGTTTTTTTATGTCACATCTGGAATATTTTTATATTTCTTTTACTAGGTTCAATTTCTTTCATTAGGTCCAATTTCTTTCATATTATAGTAAGAGATAATAAAATATACAGCAGCGGTCCCCAACCTTTGTGGCACCACGGACCGGTGCTCCTGTGAGAATCTAGTGCCTGATGATCTGAGGCGGAGCTGAGGCGGTGATGCTGGCGCTGGGGAGCGGCTGCGGATACAGGTGAAGCTTCGCTCACTGGCCTGCCGCTCACCTCCTGCTGTGCGGCCCAGCTCCTAACAGGCCACGGACCGGACCGGTACTTGTTTGCGGCCCTGGGGCTGGATGACTACTTAATTGGATCAATTGTTTTCCTCCTATTTCACGGTGCCATTTAGCTCACATAATCCTTAGGGGTCTCCAAACCAGATCTTCTTCCACGGTCCCCAGTTCTGTTGAAAGCCAGCATCGTCTAGCAACTGCACAAGCCTGACACTCAAAGGCCACCCCCATGGCCTCATCCACACACCCACCCCATCACCACGTCACAGCAGTCCTAGCTCTTCAAAGCTGCTGGAGCCGTCCGTTTCTCGACATCTCCACTC